GGACCTCAGGCAACAACACAAAAGACACAGCCTACAAAGGCGATCTGACCCAGGTGAATGCACAATTACAAAAGCTATTCCCGTTCTGTTGTTTCTGTTTACTTTCTACACCATTTTACAACTAAGACATGGAGAAGGTTATTCCATATGTGTGTGTGTTTGTGCATGTGCAATGACATGTATCTAGAGGTCAAAAGACAACTTTGAAGAATCAGTTCCTTCCTTGTACCATGTGTGTCTGAGATGAAACTTGGATCATCAGGCTATAAATAAGGCTTGGTGGCAGGCATTGTCCTTGCTAAGCCATCTCTATGACTATTAAGAAATCTTGTGACATTGACAGCTGAAAGGGAATGGTGACAGATGTGTATAATAAAACTATTAATAGTGTCCCATTAACCTAGCATAAATTCAAATTATGCTATAATTTAAGGTAATTAATCTCCATGGTAATCATACCAAAAAGAAAATAGGAAAATTATATACAATAGTTTAAGAAATAAGAATTAAAATCACTATTGAAGAAAATAAAACCAAATAAAGGTTAATGGAATAAAAAAACAAACAAACAAATAAATAAATAAGGAGCAAATACTAGAAAACATAAAAGTTAATAGCAACAGCTAATCTAAACATAGAGAATTAATGTACACACAACAGCATGTGCGTGTTGTGGCATACACATTGAGGTCAGAAGACAACTTCCAGGGATTGGTTCTCTTTTTCCACCAATGTGTGTCCACATTTCAAACTCAAGTCATAAGCTCAGCAGCGAGTGCCTTTCCCAGCTAAGCCACTTGGTAGCACGATGTGAAACAAAGCTATACACATAGATAGTATCTCGTGGCTGCCAGGGGGGAAAGCAGGACAAAGTGGGTAACATCGTAAACAGTCAAAAGGGAAGACCTATCTGAAGACATCAGTGTTTTTCAATCTTCGCTCTACTGACGGCACTGAGATGCCACTAGAAAAACCACACACGTGCACATGCACACACACAGTAAATAAATATAAATAAAAGCAACTTACAATGACAGATATGCTAATTAGCCTGATCTCACCCTCACAATGTACAATGAATCCCTGTACCCCATAAATACTTAGATGTGTATGATTTTTATAATTTGAAAAAGTTAAATGTTTAAATAACATTTTTATAACATACATTTACTATATTTGTTAATATCTACTATCAATTATTGCTATTATTTGTTATCTTTATGGTCAACTTGATGGGACTTAGAAGCACTATAAATATACTTCAGACTGTATAAATAGGTTAATGAAAGAGAAGGACCGAGCCTAGACTTGGGTAGCACCATTTCATGAGCTGGAACAATCGACTGAATAAAAAGGACAAAGCAACCTAAGCCTAAGCACTCATTACTGCCCACTTCCTAACCTGGGTAACAGTAGGACAGAGCCCTCCTCTTCCTCCTGTCATACCTCTCCTGCCATGATGGGCTGTGAGCCATGTACTGTAGGCCTCAGGGAACCTTTCCTTCCAAAGGTTCCTGGTCAGGTATTTGTCACAGCAATAAGACAAATAACTTACGTGCTGTTGTTTTTATTTCTAACTATTCACACTGCATTTATTAAGACCATATACTTAGAAAACACACCTTGTATCTCTGTAATGAAGAGGTCAATTACACTAAACCAACCTATTTTGGAACACAGGCGAAGAATGGAGTCTGAGGAGAATTCTGAATGTTTGTGAGAACACTCCAAGAAAACAAGAGTCTTGTGACCTCTTCAAATCACACAATTGTTCTTGGAATGTGTTTTTGTGCTCCACCCAGGTGTTAGAGAGTTTAACTCAGATTACTCATTATTGCTTGCTGGTGTTTATTCAATTAAATGTTTAAATTATGCTTTATATGCTTTATGGAAAAACGTGGTTTTGCAAGTATGGCTTGTCCTGGTGGTTGTACACAGCTTGAACTTATGAGAACTTACTTTATTCACGTGACCTTTCTTAACCCTCAGAGTATAAAACCCTCTGAATAGAGCTGGCTAGTCCATGAGACCTGAATCCACTTCGTTTACCATCTCCATTCTCCCAGCACCTCCAGAGCAGTGACACTCCTATACATGCCAACATTACAAACCATGAGTAAACTTTTATTTTGTTTTGTTTCCGAAATAGGGTTTCTCTGTGTGGCCTTGGCTATCCTGGACTCGCTTTGTAGATCAGGCTGGCCTCGAACTCACAGCGATCCATTTGCCTCTCCCACAATCCCCACTCAGTGCTGAGATTACAGGCATGGGCCACCCGGCCTGGCATGAGTAAACTTTTTAAAAGGAAAGAAAACTAATCCACACGTCAAGTAGACAAAGCACAAAGAAAACAACATCTAGGCATACCATGCTTACACTGAAGAAAAGCACATATAAAGAATTCTTCTAAAAAGCAGGGGGAAAAACATCACATTATTATAGGAAATGTTTAAAAATAGTAATTTTAGGAAATATCACAACATAACCTTTTTTTTTTTTTAAATGATGAGAGAACAAGAAGTAATTCGGGTACCTGCAACATGCACGCAGCACCAGGGAAAAAATACAGACACATGGACTATTATTCAGCCATGAAACAGGAAGACTTCTGAGCTGTGCAACAACAACATGGACACTTTGAAGGAATGACATTAGGTGACATACGCCATCCATACAGGCTGGATTTTACTGCAATTCTCTAAGGCGCCCATAAAGACAGAAAGTAAAAGCAGGGTCGCAAGCAACCAGCAAGCGGGGAGCAAGCAGACAGCTCCACAGTCTACCTGGGTAGGAGAGAGGGGCAGCTGCACCGCTCTCTGCAGGTGGCGCTTGACCCCAGCTCCCCCGGGTGGACACAGGGTGTTTCTCTCGAGGTTCTTTGTGTTCTGTTTCTCTTTAGTCGTCTGAATGCTCACTGAGAACCAATCTACATAAGTCAGTATATATAAAAATATATATAATATATATTTATATATGTATATGTATGTACATAATATATTATATTTATAAATATATGAATATATGCAGACACCTCATCCTTGCCGGTCTATCTCTCTCTCTGTATCTGTCTGTGTGTCTGTCTGTCTCTATCTCTCTCTCCAATTAAAGATTACTAGATGATTTTAAGACTTTTAAACTACATGATTTAGCCATCCTCCGAAATCTGTGTCTTCTGTTAATTTCATGAGCTCACCAAGAGCACTTTTAAGCATATTAAAAAAATAAATTTAGCACGGACTCAGTTAATTTGGGTTTCCCTGTTACTTACTATGACTTGACCATTTTTCTACTGGGGATCACATGGATGCTGTGGTTCTGAAGTTAGCAAAACGTCATCATATTAAATAATGTATCCTTTTTTCTTGCTCAAGTTTCTCGTTTTAACTCATGTGTCTTTCTTTACATTTAAGCCTAAAAAGTTGTTGCTGACTCCTTATGGTCAGGCATGGTATCCATGCCTAAAATCTGAGCAATGGGGCAGCAGAGGTAGAAGAATTAGGTTTGGGGCCAGCGTATATTGCTGTTCTATTGCGGCCAAGAGATACCATAATCAAGACAACTTATAGGGGAAAGAATTTAACTGCGGGTTGGCCTAAAATTTCACAAGGTATTAGTTCATGGTGGGGAGAATGGCAGCTGGCATGGCTCTGGAGCAGCAGCTAAGTGCTCACCTCTGATCAGAAAATGGAGACAGAGAGAGAACAAGACTGAGCTTGGCATGGGCTTTTGAAGCCTCAAAGCCCACTACCAATGACAGGCCTCCTCCAACAAGACCATACCTCCTAGTCCTTCCTCAACAGTGCACCAACTGGATTCCAAACAGTCAAATGCATGTACCCATGTTGGGCCATTCTCATTCCAACCACCAGAGTGCCGTAACAAATTTCAAGCCATCTTGGCATAGAGTGAATAAAATCCTGCCTCAAAATACAAAGCAAGGGGCTGAACTCAGTAGTTAACAGCTTTTTCTACTGTTCCTGAGGATCCCAATTCCATTTCCAGCATCCAAGCAATAGCTTATAATCACCTGTAACTCCAGTTCTAGGGAAACTGATGCCCTCTTCTGGCCCACTGCACAAATACGGTGCACAGACATAGATGCAGGCAAAGTACCCATACCCAAAAATAAATAACTAAACAAATAGATTAACAAACAAACAAATAGAAATGAGCTAATCTTAAAAAGTGAAGAAAAAGAAAAAAGAAAAACGGGAGTGGGGCCGGGTGGTGGTGGTGCACACACGGTTGGTGCCACCACGAGGGAGGGAGGGGGGACAGGACAGAGGCAGGCAGAGCTCTGTGTTCAAGGCCAGCATGGTCCTCAGAGGTAGTTCCAGAACAGCCAGGACTATGCAGAGAAGCCCTGTCTCAAGAAAACAAAAAGAAGCCAGGCATGGTGGTGCACGCATATAATGCCAGCACTCAGGAGGCAGAGACAGACAGATCTCTGTGAGATCAAGGCCAGCCTCGTCTACAAAGTGAGTCCAGGACAGCCAAGGCTACACAGACAAACCCTGTCTTGGAGGGAAGAGAGACAGAGAGAGGAAGAGAGAGAAAAGGGGTAAGGGAGAATCCTCCCTCACCTCAAGAGCAGTTAAACATCCCTTCCCTACTTCCTCACAGTGTCCTCCAAGGAAGGCACTCTGGCTTTTACTATTCACAACCACTTTAAATAGCCTAAAAGTGATACTTGAGAAATAACTCTACAAACCCTCCTGAAAACTCATACCTGTAATGCCAGCACTTAGGAGGACTTCTACACATTCAGAGCTATACAGGAAGCTTCAGGGCAGCCTGGCTTACAGAGTAACACTGCCTCTAAACAAAAAGCAAAGAGGAAATCTCCAGAATAAAAAGGTGATGAGGAAAAAAAAAAAATCAGTAAGCTTGACCTATCTTTTAGCTATAAATACTTCGACTTACAAGTGTGTCAGAACAGAAGTAGTGTAACACTTTAGGCTTGTTGTTTGTACAGCTTAACTCATGAAGGTTTTACTCACTTGTGGTCATGATGCTAGGAGGGCAAGAGGGTATCCCATGATCCACTGCCCATCTGTAGGCTCCTTCTCCAACTAAAAAGCTAACAACAAAAAAGTTATTCTTTTAAAAGTGCAGTGTCATCTTCTACAGTCAACAAAGTTATAGAAGTAATATCACATGACAACTAAATTAAAGTCTTAGAGATACAAGTAATTCTAGAGTTGGTGCAAAATAAGATAGTTGCATGCTCACATTTTCTTCTACATTTTTCCTCACTGGAAGTAACTAATGTAGAAATTGGGAGAAAAAAAATAACACAATAAAAAAGTGAAACTCACTTCCTACAGGCTTTCTTTGATCCACATTGTTATTAAATTTATACAACCTACTCAATCAGGGTAAGAGTCTAAGTGGATGTTTTCAGAATTGTTGTTCTTGTCTAGAACTATAGCCGCTCAAAAAAAGTAATAAATCTAGATATGCACAAACACACTGTCATGTTTACATCCTAAGTTAAATGCAAAAAGGCATACAGAATTCTCACAGTCATTTGCACTCTAGTGAGCAAAAGCTGAAATACATCCCAAAAGAGATTTTTCAGGACTATACTATAATTTTTAATATAACAAAGTGAAACGGGGCTTATGAAGACTAATTTCCAAAGACCTCAAAAAGCATGCCAACAAAAGTAACGATCTAAGTACTTTCATGAGAGAAACAGTAATTTCAAGGAACAACTATAATAATCACTTCATCTGCTTCCATAGTCAACGACTTAAAGACCTCAACTAGCTAGTGATAGGCCCCTTGAACTTGCACCTGACTGTTGGTCTACTATTCTCTATTTCTTGCTTCTGTTCTTCTAATCATTCACACATTGAAATTTAAGAGTAGGAACTAGGAAAATCAGTGGTGACGAGTACATTCAAAGCTCTTTCAAAGGACCCACACTAGTTACCCAGCATCCATGACCAGAGATTCATAACCACCTCTGTTCCAAGATTTCTAAATATCTTCTGACCTTTGTAGGCACCTAAATTCATGTGGACATGAATTATGTGTATATGTCCACACAGACATATACACATAAGTTAAATGTAATCTTAAAAGTGTGATATTAAAACACACCTCACGAGTGATAACTATTGAAGTCTTTATATGAAATTCTTACTAATACCAGTATTTTAAGAATCAGCACTTCAATGCTTTCTGCTACCAGAAAGCAACATTTGAGCCCTACCAGGTCCCTCTGGGGCACAGCCAGCATCTGTGGGCTACGCTCTGTCCCCTGAGCTGATTCAGGCCACTCCTCTGCCTGCCTTCCCAAGGATACCTGCTGGACCAAGGAATATCCAGGTTAGACACGCCACCCCCATCCTCCATAATCCCTATCCCACCAGGTCCCTCTGTTCTCTGGTACACAGCCAGTAGCACTGAGGTATGCTCTAGCCCCTAAGCTCCACTGTCCAAGTCCCCAGATCTGCCTTCCTTCCCAAGGAGGCCTGCTGGCCCCAGAAACATTCAGGAGTCCTGCAAGCACCAGGGACAGCCAATCAACAAGATCCAGGGCATTGTGGGCACCACCAGAGCCCAGCTAGCCTACTACAGCAGGCCCTGAATATCGTAACACAGCCAAAGCACAAGAAAATGACCTCAAATTCAATCTTATAAAGATGATAGAGGCCTTTAAAGAGGAAATGAATAAAACTGTTCATAACCTGAAAATGGACATAAAATAACACAACCTGGGGGGATCCTGGAGATAAAAAACCTAGGAAAAAGAACAGTTAACAAAAGACATAAGCATAACCATAAAATATAGGAGATAGACAAGAGAATCTGAGGCAGAGATGCGACTGAAGAAACTGATGCATCGGTCAAAGAAAATGTTAAATCTAAAAAGTTCCTTACACAAAACATCCAAGAAATCTGGAACATTATGAAAAGACCAAACCTAAGAATAACAGGAATAAGAAAGAAAAGATTCCCAGTTCCAAGGCCCAGAAAATATTTTCAACAAAATCATAGAAGAATACTTTCAAAATCTAGAGGGAAAAAAAATGCCTATAAACATACAGAAGCATATATGTTTCAAACAGATTAAACACACACACACACAAAATCCTCCTGCCACATATTAATCAAAATACTAAATATAAAGAATGAAGAACAAATATTAAAAGCTGCAAGGGAAAAGGCCAAGTAACATATAAAAGTAGACCTATCAGATTGTCATCCGACTTCTCAACAGAGACACTAAAAGCCAGAAGGGCCTGGGCAGATGTTTTACAGACCCTAAGACACCACAGATGTCAGCCCAGACTACTATATCCAGGAAAACTTTCAATTACCATAGATGGAGAAAACAAGATATTCCATGACAAAACCAAAATTAAACAATATCTATACACTAATCCAGCCCTAAAGATACTAGAAGGAAATTCCAACCCAAGGAGGTTAACTATACCCAAGAAAACACAAGGAATAAATAAGGCCACACCAGCAAAACTAAAAGAAGACTGACTCCCTCTCCTCTCTCTCTCTCTCTCTCTCTCTCTCTCTCTCTCTCTCCACCTACCACCAATATCAAAATAACAAAAATTAAGAATCATTAGCCATCAATATCTCTCACTATCAATGGACTCAATTCCCTAATAAAAAGACACAAGCTAATAAAATGAGAGCAAAAATAGGATACATCATTCTGCTACATACAAGAAACACACCTCACCTCTGTGACAAAGATAGACACTACCTCACAGTAAAGGGCTGGAAAAAGGTTGTCCGAGCAAATGGACCCAAGAAGCAAGCTGGAGTAGCCATTGCAGTATCTAATAAAATAGACTTTCGACCAAAATTAATCAAAAGAGGTGGTGAAGAACACTTCATACTCAAAGAATAAATCCATTAAAATGATGTCTCATTTCTGAATATTTATGCCCCAAATTCAAGGGCACCCACATTTGTAAAAGAAACACTACTAAAGTTTAAATCACACATCAAAACCACACTTTAATAGTGGGAGACTTCAACGCCCCATTCTCACCAATGGACAGATCATTGAGACAGAAACTAAGCAGAGAAATAATAGAACTGAGACATTATGAATCAAATGGACCTAACAGATATCTACAGAACATTTCACCCAAACACAAAAGAATATACGTTCTTCTCAAGACCTCATGGAACGTTCTCCAAAAGCAAAACAAAACAAAAAAGCAAACAAGCCTCAACAGATTCAAGAAAATTAAAATAACCCCTTGTATCTTATCAGACCACCATGGATTAAAGTTGGACTCCAACAACAACAGAAACAACAGAAAACCTACAAATTCATGGAAACTGAAAACTCTCTACTCAATGACCACTGGGTCAGGGAAGAAATAAAGAAAACACTTAAAAACTTCTAGAATTCAATAAAAATGAAGGTACAATATACCCAACCTATGGGTCACAGTGAATGAAGTGTTAAGAGGAAAGTTCATAGCATTAAGTGCCTTCATGAAGAAGATCTCACACTAGCAAATTAACACCTGAAAGCTCTAGAATAAAAAGAATCAAACAGACCCTAGAGGTGTAGACAGCAGGAAATAATCAAACTCAGGGCTGAAATCAATAAATTAGAAACAAAGAGAATCAAGGAAACCAAGTGCTGATTCATTGAGAAAACCAACATGGCAGACAAACCCTTAGCCAAACTAACTAAAAGGCAGAGAACGAATATCCAAATTAACAAAATCAGAAATGAAAGGGGGGATGTAATATATATCAAGGAAATCCCAAGAATCATTAGGTCTTATTTCAAAAACCTATACTCTACAAAACTGGAAACTCTAAATAAAATAATGAATGATTTTTGATAGATATCGCTTACCAAAGTTAAATCAAGATTAAGTAAATAATTTAAATAGACCTATAACCTCTAAGGAAATAGAAGCAGTCACTAAAAGTCTACCAACCAAAAATAGCCCAGGGCCAGATGGTTTCAGTGCAGAATTCTCCCAGACTTTTAAAGAAAAGATAATACCAATATTCTTCAAACTCTTCCACAAAATAGAAACAGAAGGAACATTACCAAACTCATTCTATGAGGCCATAGTGACCCTGATACCTAAACCACACAAAGACCCAACAAAGAAAGAGAATTTTAGATCAATTTCCCTGATGAACACTGATGGAAAACACTCAATAACGAGAAAATGTCTTCACCAACCCTATATCCAGCAGAGGTCTAATATCCAAAATATACAAAGAATTCAAATAAGTAAATAAGCACCAACAAACCAAATAATCCAATTAAAAATGGAATACAGAGCTGAACAGAGAATTCTCAATAAAAGAATCTCTAATGGCCAAGAAGTACTTAAAGAAATATTCAACATCTCAGGAAAATGCAAATCAAAGTGACTCTGAGATTCCACTGTAGACCCTTCAGAAGATCAAAGACTCAAGTGACATCATATGTTGGCGAGTATGTGGACCAAGGGAAACCCTCCTCCACTGCTGGTGGGAATGTAAGTGTGTACAACCACTCTGCAAATCAATCTAACGGTTTCTCAGAAAACTGGGAACAGTTCTACCTCAAGACTCAGCTATACCACTCCTGGGCATATACCCAAAAGAGGCTCCACCATACAACAAGGACACTTGCTCAACTATGTTCACAGCAGCTTTACTTGTAATAGCCAGAAACTGGAAACAACCTAAATGTCTCCCAACCAAAAATGGATAGAGAAGTTAGGCTACATTTACATAATGGAATACTACTCAACTATTTTTTAAAAAGACATAATAAAATTTGCAAGCAAATGCATAAAACTAGAAAAGGTCATCCTGAGTGTGGTAACCAGATCCAGAAAGGCATGCATGGTGTGTACCCACATAAAAGCAGATATTAGCCATAAAGTACAGGATAAATATGCTGCAATCCAAAAGCCCAAAGAAGCTAAATAGAAAGGAGGCCCCAAGGAAGGGTGCCTGAGTCTCAATCACAAGGGGAAATGAATTGAACATTGGCAGTGAAGGAAGGAGAGACTGCGGTGGAAGAAGGGGTGGGAGGGGAATAGGAGGGAGCAAGTGAGGAGGACGAAGGGACAGGGA